AGAGTCGCACACGACTGAGTGACTTGACACACGTGTGTGTGTTTATCTGTATATACTCACCACTTTCTCCTTTTTACCTTTCTATTGACTATTGGAAGTCAGGTTCATAATTTAATCTTTATATAATAGGATATTTAGTGAGACCATTGCAAATTTGTGGAGTAATTAATATAGTCAGCTATGGATACAGTGACTGTTGGGACTGTATGTCTTCTCATTTTAGGGGAAGAGTGAGAACGTCACTTTAAAGAAATACATTTATCTACTTGACTGCATCGGGTCTTGGCTGTGACACGCAGGTTAGATGAGGCTGCAAAATCTTAGTTGTGGGGTAACCCTAATCCTAACCCTAGTTCCCTGACCAGGAATCAAACCCAGGCCTCCTGCATTGGGTTCAGTGCACCAGGAGGGAAGTCCCAAGAATGTTGCTTTTAAGAATAGATACATGTTGTCAGTAGGAATGCAACATGGAAGTTCAAATAAGTGTAGAATGGTGCGTGAAAGCTGAGTAGCTGAAAAGACCAACATGAGCTCTGCATTCACCTTCAGAACCTGTCCTGTGATTCCAGGCTGGACTCGGCGTTTCTCCCTTTCAGTGAGCACAGTGGTAAGCCCTGTCTGTAGAGGGCGCTGGAGGGATATTGAAGGAAGCAAAGGGCTTGTCTTCCTAGCTCCCATAAGCTCTGGTTTGTTTTTCCTGCTCCTGCGCTGTGGTCTCAGCGGTGCAAGTGGATGTGTGTGAGGACAGCTAGGATATCAGATGGTCCTCTCCAACCACGTACCAAGAGCGGGCACTCCCTCGGCAACCTCGCGAACCTGGTCCATGCCTGGTGACCACTTTGCGGTGGCCCTCCTGTCGAGGATACCGCATGCTCCAGGCCTTGGCACGCACGGCAGTTCCCTAACTCTGTGCACTTGCCCCCTCAGCCTTGTTTATCTCTGCCCTGGATCACCCTTCCCAAGCCCTCAGGGATGGACAGTGTGCATCCCCAGTGGGGCCCAACTCCACATGTCTGCTCACCAGCCTTGGCTCTTCTCCCCAGAGGGTTGATTCCCGTGGCCCTCCATGCCCGGCATGGACAGCATGCACTGCAGGCCTTGTGCACCTGGGGCATTCCTACTCTTTGGGTGCACCTGCCCAACAGCCTTGGCTCAGCTGTGCCCCAGGGGGTTGTTTCCTGCCTGGCAAGTGTGAGCTAGCTCTGTCTTGGCCAACCAGCGGACTTGTTCACTACTCAGTGGGCTGCCGTGAGGCCTAAACCCCAGATTTGGGGGTGGGGGACCCTACAAAGTTTGTCCTCAGCCCTCAGGTACCCTTTTAGAATTCTCTGTACATTTTTATAGGGCTTTCCAGGTGGGTCAGGGGTAAAAAATCTGCCCACCAGTGCAGGAGACACAGGAGAGGCAGGTTCGATCCCTGGATTGGGAAGATCCCCTCAGGAGGAGATGGCAACCCACTTCAGTATTCTTGCCTGGGAAATCCCATGGCCAGAGAAGCCTGGAGGGCTACAGTCCATGGGGCAGGGGAGGGGCGGGCATCGCAGAGTCAGACACGACTGACTATACAACATTACATTTTTATAGTTCCCCTCTTATAATTTAAGGATTATGTTAAACCTGCCATGTTTAAATTACTAGGTGGTTTCTGTCTTCTGATTGGACTTAGACTGGACCACCTAGTTATCTTATTGTTACTGATTTCTAACTCAATTCCATTATTGTCAAAAAACATGCTCTTTCTCCTTTTAAATGTACTGATTATTGTTTTATGGTTCAGCATGTGGCTTGCACTGGTCATTACTCTGTGTACATGGAAAACATTGCATTTTATATTAAATAACTTAATAAGAAAAATGTTTTAAAATAGTCTTTATATTTACTCAGATACTATTTCTGATGTACTCCATCCCTTTCAGAGGATCTGAGTTTCCATCTGTTATCATTCCCCTTCAAGTCAAATAACTCTTTTAGCATTTCTTTATAGTGCAGGATTGCTGGCAACAAATTCTCTCAGTTTTATATCTGAAGTATATTTTTGGTAAATTTAGATTTCTGAGTTGACCTCTTTTTCTTGCAGAACTTTAGAGATGGTGTTACACTCTCTGCTGGCCTCTGATTTCTGGTGAGTAGGCAGTTGCTAATTGTTGTTCTTCTGTACGTGGTTTGTTTTTCTCTTGCTGCTTTCAAGATTTGCTCCTCATCTTTAGCTTTTGACTATGATGTTCCTAGATGTGGCCTTTCTGTGTTAATCAAGGTGGCTTTGTGGAGTATCTAAAATCTGTACATTTCTTTTATCACATTTGGGGAAATTTGGGCTTTTTTTTTTTTTTTTTTTTCTGCTTTCTTCCTTCTCTTTGCCTCCTAGGATTCTAATCATACATTTGTCAGACTGTTTGAGGTTATCTAACTGGCCTGGGAGACTTTAAAAAAAACTCTTGTCTCTGTTCTGCAGCGTGGGGAGTTTCTATTGGTTTACTTTCTAGTTCATTGATCAGTTCTGTAATCTCTTTTGCTGTTAAATCTATCCATTTGATTAAAAATGTTTCAGTTGTTGTAATTTTTATTTCCAGAGTTTCTATTTTTCAAAAGTCATTTGTTTCTTTGCTGAGGTTGCCTATCTTTTTATTCACTGAGAACATAATTTCACTGCTTCTTTATTATCCTTGTCTGTTAACTCCAGTATCTGGGTCACCTCAGTATTGGTGTCAGTTTTGAACGTTAAATTGTGGAGACTCTGGTTTGTATTATTTGTCTCCAAAGAGTGACGGTTCTTTTATCAGGCAGTTAGCTTGGGTGGATTGTTGTTGTTGTTTAGTTCTTAAGTCCTTTCTAGCTCTTTTTTGACCCCGTGGACTGCAGCCCTCCAGGCTGCTCTATCTGTGGGATTTCCCAGGCAAGAATACTGGAGTGGATTGCCATTTCCTTCTCCAGGGGATCTTCCTGACCCAGGGATTGAACCTGGGTCTCCTGCATTGGCAGGCAGATTCTTTACCACTGAGTCACCTGGGAAGCCCATTTTGGGTGGATACACAGTGCAAATCACACTTAAGGGGCAGCAGCTCCAATCTCAGTTTAGATTTTCTGTCTTTAGCTGAGTTACTTTAATCTGAACACCAAATTTGTGGTCCAGATCTTGGGCAGAGATGTGGGCAGACAGAACTTGGTGGTTGCTGCCTCTTCCTTTCTGAGACGCCCATCTTTTCCTCCAGTGGCTTCAGTTGCCCTGGCTCAGTACTTGTACTGTGATTGTCCACCAGCATAATGTACCTACTGCTTTGTCAGCTGCCAAGTTATAACAGCAAAAATAGGAAACTTTCTCTGCACAATTTCCTCCTCAGTGTGAACTCCCCATCAAACTTTCTGTCTCCCTTCATTCTCCAGTAGTCTTTAAGTAGCTGTTTTTCCTATCTTCCACATTTCCCTCTATTTCTTGAACATATCAGTTTAAACTCCTTTTCAACCTTCTCAACAATATTTGGCTCACCTGTTTCTATTTTCTACTTTGCTCTGGTTTTAAATAATATGGTCTTATCTCTTGACTTGCTAGTGATTCTTACTGGAGTCAGAAATTGTATATAAAAAAAATTATAGCACCTCTAGATTTTTTTTTTCCAGTCTTTTCTCTGTTACACCAAGAGAATGGGGGTTGATCACCTTAATCCACTCAGAGACCACATGGTTTGAGGTTGCACTGGGATTTTAATAAGCCTCAGTCTGCCTGTTTCACCTTGTTTCTAGTAAGGAGCCCTACTGAGCTTTGAACTGAAAGACCCGTGTGTTCACCAGTCCCTGCCCTGTCATGGGTCCTGAATTCTAATCATCAGCACCATTAGTCTGACAAAAATTCGATTCTGCTTTTCAGAAGTTTGAGGTTTAGCTTTTTATAGCTTCTGGTCCTATACAGCTTCAGAGTTTGGTAAGTGTCTTAAAGAAATGTATTACGTCCTTGAGGCTCTTTCAGTCCCCAGTTTTGTTCTCCCAGTGTTATGAGAGCGCTAAGCTCCACTGGCTTCTCTGGCCCCCTCTGCCTGGGCAATGCTTGGATCCTCAGCCTCTTGCTCAAACCGAGTCAGCAAACACTCCCAAGGGAAAGTCTGCTGCAAACTGTCAGCTCACGTCCCTGGTTCTACTTCAGAATTTTAGGCCCTTTCATCATCTTTCCTTCAGCAATTCTCTAAGACCTTTTTAGACGACTTTCATATTTTGTCTGGTCTTTCTAGTTCTCTAATAGAGCATTGGTCAGCTAAAAGCAACTCTATGCAATTAAAAGTCAGCACTTTTAAAAGTGTTTATTTTCTTTCTTTGATCTTTGAAAACTAACCGCCCCAAGCATTCAGTTTACATCACATCTTAAAAATATATTCCTACTGCTAAGTGAAAAAAGAAAAGCAAACTATGTTATGGCATATTCCCCATAATCACAACTGTATATAAAATATAAATACATACCATCAAAAATATGATATTATTTATTTCTGGGGTAGGATTACCCATTTTTTCTTCTGTAAAAATGTTTCTGAAATGTTACACTGTCTGTAAGAAATTATGCAACTAAATGTAGATTGTCAAGAGGGGAGGGAGAAGGAACTCTGACTGAGATAACAGAAGTGGGAAGACTAATTGCACAAATATAACTTCAATTTCGTATCACATGAATGCATTAACTATCAAGATAAAGAAAGAAACAAAGGAAGAGGGAGGGAGGGAGGGAGGTGGGAAGGAAGGGAGGAAGGAAGGAAGTAACACACACACACACACACACACACCCACACACACACCCCTCCCAAGAGACTCCTGGGACTACAAAGTGCCATTTATACTGGGAGTGAGGAAAACAAACATTTGATTGTACTCACTAGCTGGAAAGACTGCAGAGAACAATCCAGCCCTGATTCATTTGGGGACACAAAAAAATCTATCTTTTAGGGATTGTGATGAGCAAAGGGGATTATAATATTCCTGTAAGAGCTTGTATGAAAAGATTCAAAATTGGGCTATTGTTATTTTTTGTACAGACGAAGGTACAGTACACATAGATGGTGGTTTTGTTAGATCACTTCTCCCAATTATAGGGGATGAGATCTTAGGTATTTTCTTAGAACTCTGTAACGTGCTTTTAAAATATCTGATAAATCTTGACAGCACAGCTGATTAACTACAGCCTCTCTTTCCCTAGGACTTCACTGTAGGCTTCTAAACTAGGGGTCAGCATACCATGGCCTGAGGGCACATCTAGCCCATTTTGTATGGCCCTCAAGTTAAGATTAGACTTACATTTTTATGTGGTTGAAACAAAATCAATATATTTGTGACGTGGGTCATTCATCTGAGTTTCATCTCTGGCTGCTTTTGTGCTTTGATGTCAAAATTGAGTAATTGCAACAGAGGACACATGTCCCTCAAGATCTAAAATATTTACTATCTGACCGTTAACAGGAAAAGTTTGCCAACTCCTGGGCCAAAGTACTTTTTTTTTTTTCTTTTTTTTAAAGTACTTCTGAATAATGAGTTTCATGGGGCAGCTCTCTGGTGGGGCAGACTGACCGCACCCTTGTCTTTTGCCAAGAAACCTCCTAGTGCTTTCCCACTCTGATACTGGGCTCAGTCACATGATTTGCTTTGACCAATGGGAGTTGAAGAGACAGTAGAGGCTTGAACTGGGGTTGCTCCCCACAGCTTGATTTCCTGCTTCTCTGCCCACTGTCTAGTCAACCGACCCAGGCAAGCCTGCTGGACAATAAGTCATGTGAAGCAGAGTCATTCTAGCACAGGTCAGCCTAGGTTAGCCAGAAGTCAATGATCTCAAGATCAAGACAGCTGCCTGGCTGACCCTCAGCTGACCACAGACACATGTGTAAGCCCAGCAAAAACTACCCAAACCCAGCCAGATGAGCTGAGCCCCAACACTCAAGAGCCATGCCACTGAAGTGTGGTGGTGGGTCTGTTACAGGCGACTATTCCGGCAATAGAAAACTGATACTACGGGCACATGAATATTTAAAATTTCTTTTGCCAAAAGAGGCTAGGGAACATTTCACTCTCCTGTGGACAATTCTGGGTTCTGACAGGGGGAAAAACATGGAAGTCTGAAACTCCAGAGGTGGGGGTGGGGCATCAGATCACATCTTGATTTTCTGCAAAACTATCTTGTACTCACAATGGGATTCAAGGAATACCCATATCTGCTCTGTGGCTCAATTTGCCCACTGGACCAAGTAGACGCTAAGGTTAGGCTAGCCTAGGACTTGGCATTCCTCTTAACCACAGAGGGACTGAGCAAGGCAGAGACTCCATCATTTATGGAAAAGAATTTATTTCCTATTTATACAATGTAAAAAAAAGTACCTTGGGTATAAAATCTAAATGTCTGAGGTGTGCTCAGTCAGGAGCCCAGAAAAGTCACTCCTTGCATCCTTCAATCATTAGTGTGCAGTGCAAACAGAGCCAGGGCTGGGAGCTCCTCCTGTACTAGCATCAGTGGAAAGTTCCCTTGGGAAAAAGCCACAGAGCCCTTGGTGAGGAAGAGGGGCAGAGAGAGGGAAGGAAAGAGGGCAGGACTGAAGCAGGAGGCTGGGAAGGAATGATGTTCAGGAGTTTGTACTGGGGACACTTTAATTTGCTAGAGGGAGGCTCCTCCTCTTCACCTGCTGCACACTGACTGGCCGGGGCCTGTCCTCGGAATGTCAAGCTACTTCCTAGCACATAGGCCGACTGCCCCTCTGCAGAGCCCCCAGTGTGACTTCTGTCAGAAAGGAAAGGTGTTCATCGATGTGACAGAAAACTGTCACCTTCGAACTTGCATGAACTCCTTGCGCAGCCATAAAGAGTCCTGGTAGAAGCGAGGATCGCCCAGCCTCACAGCTGTCCGTTTGTAGAAGTAACAGTACAACACTGCCGCTGTGGAGAATAAATAGGAAAGGAGAGTCAGGGATGCACCTGAGTATTTGTTTCAGGGGAAGAACATGACCAGACGAGGCCAAGGGGCCCAGTCCCATGATTTCCCAGTGGCTCCCAGAAAGGGCATAGGGCAGTGGTCTCTCCTGGTCTTGGCATGGCTGTTCCACTCCTCTCACGCCAGTTGTGATGGGCTGGGAAGCTAGGATCAAGGCCCTCACTGCCAGAGCCACAGGTGGGACCAAAGTGAGGCTTGAGGTTGTTCTGGTTCTTACCTAGCCTCTGGAATACAAACAATGTTTGAAGTCCATCTGTCCAGACAAAGCGGTTGGAGTTTTTCCAGCGTAAGTTCTAAAGGAGACATGAATAGACAGAGAAAGGTGAATGGCCAGATGACGCCCTGACATCTTCAGCCTGGTGAGCTGCAGAGATGCTGCTTGATTTAGTATCAGGCTCATCTCACCCCCTTCTTTCTTTCCACAAGCCAAAGGAGTGTTTCTCAAACAAGCTTCAACAAGTCCCCTTGTTTTTTGCTGCAGAGGAAGTAATTCTTTTAACCCTGAGGGAGTAAGTTTGAACTAAGCCATTTATTTCCTTTCATCCCATTGCCTTGGCCAATGAGAAATGATAGACATTATCTCAGGAGTTCGGCATGGTCACTATTTTGCCTTGGAAATCTGAGGCTTGGTTCCTGGCAGATAAAGGCTTGGTGCACTCAGGGTTTAATCAGATTAGCAGTTTCACAGTACAAAGCCAGGACTATTTTGGCTCTAGGAACCTGAGCAGAGACAATCCTCTCTGGGAAGCACCTTGAGGCTTTGGCACTGTGCTGCTTCTTCCCTGTGAGTTCTTGTTCTCTCTGTGGAATCACAGGGGCAACCTAATGGGAGGTTTAGTCTGAGAACGTGCCTTTAGTAAAGAAATGACTAGAGAACCCTGAGGTTTTAATGTGTTCCATTAAATGAGTACAAAGAAACACATGAGATACCCACATAGACAAAATTTGTGGAGCAGAAGAAATTTGAAGGAGTTCCCTGGTGGCTCAGTGGTCAGGACTCCACACTTCCAATGCAGGGAGCATGGGTTTGATCCCTGGTCGGGGAACTAAGAGCCCATAAGTCACTCGGTGCGGCAAAAAACCAAACCAAAACATGAAAACAAAAAAGAAATCTGAAACCATGAAAACTGGATCTGTTTCAAGGCCTATGTCAGAACCAGAGGGAGGCATCTCGGAGGCACGTTCTCCTGATGTAAGTGATGGGGACACAGCAGAGGGCTCGTGGCACTCCTGCCTGGCTATTTCCCATGGGACACTGATGCCTAAGGATAGCCTGTATCAACATGCACCTGCCCAAACAGCTAATGATGGAACAGATTCAATTTCCTGTTTTAACCTGCAGGTCTTTGGGGGTAAAATGAATCAAACGTTCCACAAATGCCCCTGGACTCCTGGATACGGCTGTTCTTCAACACATAAGGTTGAGAAAAAGTGCCTTATGAAATTCTCATGTGTCGAGCTACAGGCTGGACCACATTCATTTCACCTGTTTCTTATCAAGGATTCTGTGAGATAAACATCCAGAGATGCTGGATTCCCACAGATAAGACATTCCAAGTCCTTTAAGGACTCAGAGCCTCCCTCTTACCATGACCCAGACATGAAGAGAGATGCTCAGGGCGAAGTACACAGCTGTCAGGATGATGGTCCCTTTGAACTTATGGAAGAGGAGGTTGACCAGGCCAGCCTGGAAGACGAAGGTGTTGAAGAACATGAGGAAAATGATGATGATGTTGAAGAGGATTGCGATATCCTGGATGCTGCAAACATGGAAAACAAAAGGATGGCCAAATGGAGGCCTGGGGAGCACCCAAGAGTCAGCCCTGAATCCTAAGGGACACTATGAGGTCTGTCCTTACCTCTGAAACCCCCCCAGAGGTAGTGTGGGTTTTGGACCCCAAATGACATGAAATTAAAACTACCCGCTACCTGTTGGTCCAATCAGTTGAATTGCAGTCTATGGACAAGGTTTTCCTGCTGACACTCCCAACTCAACAAGCCTCCCCAGCACCTGTGAGAAGCAGCTAGTTTCCTCCTTGTATCCAGAAAATGCCAGCCCTGTCTGTCAAATAACCTAGTGCCTAGTGCCATTCAAGTGTTGGTTCAAATGTCCCCTCTTCAGAAACTTCTCTCACCCCACTACCTTAAGTAGCCTTTTCCCCATTCCACATACTTTATATCCACTGTATAACATTTATTACTATTTGAAGTTATTAAAATATTTTTTGTCTCTCTCCACTAGAATGGAAATCCCATCAAACAGAACTTGTCAGGTCCACCACTGCAACTATAGCACTGTCTGGTAGGCTGATGAACATTTGCTGAATGAAGACAGGGTCTCAAACTGTGGTTTTCTGTTTAGAACTTGCCTCATGGAGACTAAAAATCACTGTGGATGAAACATGACAATAGGTTCCATCCTCTGGGATGCATATATGTTATCAACATGGTTATTCTGGAAATTTCCTGGTGGTTCAGTGGTTATGAATCTGCCTTCCAATGCAGGGGATGCAGGTTTAATCCTGGTCAGGGAACTAAGATCCCACATGCCACAGGGCAACTAGAGAGCCCATGCTGCAACGAAAACCCAGAACAGCCAAAAAAAAAAAAAGCTTATTTTTACTCAGGGCCAGGGCAGTGAAAGCGCTGAGTCCTAACCCCTGGACTGCCAGGAAGTCCCTGATAACCCCTTTACCTGACATTTTGCAACCCTGTTTCATGGCACTGTAAGACACTTTCTACTCACAGATGGAGATAATGACAGTGTCAACAATCTGACCCTCATTTTCTATGTGCACTGTTCCTGTGTTCCAAACCCTTGTTAGAAGTATATCAAAGCAGAAGTATCAAAATGGTATATCCTGTGACATATCTATGGACCATGGAGTACCCAAGACAAACTGCAACTTTATTCTCCCTGATATTTCTCTATTAATAACTTTAAAACACTAAATCATGCTTTTTGGGGCTTCTGAAATGATTGGGTTGAGCTGCCCAGTCCCACTCACATGAAGAGCACCAGCTGTATGACTGGAGCCATTCGGAGTAGCTCAGAGAAGGAATTGACAAAGAGGTCATAGGACAGCAGCAGGAACTGCAGGGAGAGCACCAGGCTGTAGTTACTGGTCTGGAGCATCTTCCTTCTGCTCTCTCGTGCCCCCAAGGGCACATTCCACAGTTCCTCAGAAAACAACTACTGGTCCACCCCCAGGCACTGAGTTCTTCAGAATTGCAGCTGCTTCCCTTGCTCTAAGACAAGGATCTGTTAAAGCCCCCCCTCAAAAAAAAGAAAGAAAAGAGAGAAAGAGAGGTTAGAAATTCAACAGTACAAATATTTACTTAGGACCTACTATATGCCAGGTACCATTCTAGGTGCTTGTGATACATCGATGACAGAACCGACAACAACTAACGCCAACTAGTCATTCCTTCCAGGGACCCTCACCCTCAAACCTGTCTCCATGCCTGGAACCCTCTAAATGTAGAGCTCTTTCTAACCAGTTTTGAGTCCAAAGGAATCTAGGGAAAATACACAAAGTGACTGTCTGGTCATGTAGTGATAATAATTCTAATTGCAGAAGCAAATCTTTGTATATCACTTACAATTCTAAGCACTAACATTTAAATCTCTCCATTACCCTTGAGGTGGAAGACACACTATAACTCTCTCCATTTTACAGAGGGGACAGTTGAAGCCCAGGGAGGAAAATAATTTGTCCAACGTCATGCTAGTAATTGGCAGGGCTAGCAATCAGATCCAGGCAGTCTGGGTCTGGAGTCTGAGCACTTAACTACTGCACAAAGCTGTCTCTCACAAAACTGACAGCTTTACATGCAACTAGGCAGGAAAGGGCTTCTCAGGTGGTTCAGTGGTAAAGAATCCACCTGCCAATGAAGGAGACGTGGGTTTGATCCCTGGGTTGGGAAGCTCCCCTGGAGCAGGAAATGGCAACCCACTCCAGTATTCTTGCCTGGGAAATCCCATGGACAGAGGAGCCTTGTGGCTACAGTCCATGGGGTCACAAAGAGTCAGACACAACTGAGCATGCACACGGGCAGGAAAAACATTGGCACATAAGTGGTTAATGGTGTAGGCAGAAAAAGCTGAGAGAAAATAGTGTTCTTCTAAGGTTAAAGATTACGGTAGCGACACAATGCACCAGGTAAGGGGGGCTAGGCCTATATTTTCATTTATTTCAAGACAAAGAAGCTGCTCTGGGGTTGTCCTATGACCCTCTCCAGCTGGATCAAATCCATAAGCAAATTTCAAAATGTTTTGAAGTGTTACAGAATGATTAAATCAACATATGTAAAATGTTAGTTTACAAACTCTGCATATTTACTTCCTTATTTAATCCCATATCCATTTTAAGAACTAGCTGTTATTATGTTTATAACCCCACTTTACACAGAGGCTCTGAGAAGTTGCAGAACCTCGTCCATCTCCACCTAATGAAGTCCCACTAAGGATGTACAATGTGGTTTTCTCTGAGCCGAGTTTCCTTATTCATCAAATAACATTGATAGTATCACCTATGTACCCGCACCATGATAAACTTGTCAACCCAGATAAATTCCTTTAGTCCTCGAAACTACTCTGCAAGGTGGGAAAGAATTATCCCCGTTCTACAGGCAAGGACAGTATCAGAGTTCAAGCCGTTCCTCCAGGATTCACAACTAGGTGTGATACGAAAGCCCATGCTCTTAACCGCTAGTTCACACGCCGCCACAGAAGGCTGTTGTGAGGCTCCGTTAAAAAGAACCGCTCACCGCCATCATTAACGGAAAGATGACCATCACCTCGGGTTAGCGTAGCGGTGATCTCTCAAGATCTTCTCACCGCTAATCTGCCGCGTTCTCTCGGTAGAGCAGAGCAATTTTCCCCACCCGTCCCAACCCACTTTTTTTTTTTTTTTTTTTTTTAGTATATGTGCTGCCGCAGCGAGCACCCAACCCACTTTTAAATGGGACTGCCTTACCGAAAGACCAAAACCAAAGCAATTAACAACCAAATTCCGACTTCTGGCCTCTTTACACACTCCTCAACACGGACTCTCACCTCGGAGGCCCAACGTCGGTTGTCATGGGGATATCACCCTGGCTTCCGGAAGCCGGTTTTAAATTCCGGAAGTAGATGGCGGACGTGGGCTCATCTTGCGCCGTGCTACACGGTTGTCCTCGGCTTTCTCTCCCCGCTCTAAGGCCGACTCGGCCGCCATGTTTGAGCCCCCGCTTTCCTGGGCTCGCCTCTCTCCAGGCTTTCCCAGTGTCGCCGCGGCCTGTTCCAGGGCTCCTAGATCCGGCCAAGGCCTCCCGTTCACCCCGCGCGCCGCCTTGCGGACGGCCAGCACCTGGCCAGAGGCTTCGCCTCGGCCTGAACATTTCCGCTTCAGCGGAATCGTGGGGCTAAGGGTGAGGGACAGGGCCGACCCGTGACGGCGTTCCTGGTGCCCAGTACCTCGGGGTTGGGGAAGAAACGTCCGCGGAATAACTGGAGTTGGGGGTCAGCGCCTTGGCGCCCTAGAGCTGGGGACTCCCAGATCCGGGACTTCATTTCCCAGGCGGCCACGCGCGCGACCGGAAGTATGCGCGCCTATAAGAGGACAATGCGCCCCCCAGCTTTTCGGCTCTAGCGCAGCGGTGCCTGGTGGTCGAGAGTGTTGCTGAGGGTGTCTCGCTGCATCTTTCAGGAGCCTCGAGAGCAGCGACTCCGGCGCGGGTTGGCAAGAGACGGGTCTCGCAGACCCCAGTCCCCTTGCGTCCCACTGTGGTTCGGGGGTGAGAAACAGCCCGGGCTGGGAGTTCCGGGATCTGGGTTCGAGTGCTAGCTCTGTTACTACCTCGTTTCGCGCTGTCACGACCCCTCTCTCTCTGAAGTTTTCTCTCCTAGGAAATGGACACTATTCTCCATGCCCTTCCTTCCACAGGTGGAGGTTGTAAAGTACGAAAGCTCTTCGGAAGTCGCAGTCAGCAGGCGGAGCCCCTCGCCTAACTTTTCACCCAAGGTTCAGTTCAGTCGCTCAGTCGTGTCCGACTCTGCGACCCCATGAACCGCAGCACGCCAGGCCTCCCTGTTCATCACCAGTTCCCGGAGTTTACTCAAACTCCATTGAGTCGGTGATGCCAAGGTTAGCTGGGACCAAGGTGGCCCTGGCGGCGGGCCAGTCAAGGATCAGTCCCTGGGTTCCTAGTACCCTTCTCTGGATACTTCGGTCAGACCATAGCACGGTGCGAAGGGCGTCCCTGTAATCACTCTGGCGCTCAGGAGGACCTTGCTTATCTATCTCCTGCCAGGTATTTAAGGCCTCTTACTCCTGAGTCCCTGACTTTAAGGAAGCTCCGTTTGGAAGTGAGTCCTTGGAGCCGAGGGGGAGTCAACCTGGAGTCTTAATAGCTGTGCCACTCACCGTGGCCGAGTCACTTTCATAGTTTGGGCCCCGGTATTTTTAATCTGTAAGATAAAAGTTTAGGATTTGAGCTCTAACTCTGGGTCTCAAGATTCCTAAAGCCCCCCACTATTCATCTGAAAAGTGGGAGCAGCCAACAGCCTTCCTATGCCTTGATCTATTTGCTCTTCTAAGTGCTTGTGAAAAAGTTTGGAATCGTAGGTTTTCCTCAGACTAGGGCTGAGTAGGATATACCCGTTTTCTGCCCCAGGGCTTGATCTGTTTTCGTGCAGCCTGGGAGAATCTTTTTTGCTTAGGGATTGAGAGTGTATTAGGTTGGAGAGTACAACTCCTTAGATCAGGGTCAACAAACATGACCCACAGGCCAAATCTGGCTGACCTGAATGGGTTTTACATTTTTCAGCGATTGAAAAGAAAAGGATATTTTGTGATGTGGAAATGATATAAAAACTGAAATTTCAGTGTCCATAGTTTTTTGAACACAGCCTGTACATTTGTGAAAGTATTGTTTAAGACTACTTTTGCAGTATGTCAAGAGTGGATAGCACAGTTGTGACAAACCATATGACCTGCAAAGTCTTAAGATATTTACTGTTCTCACACTTTATAGGACTTTGAGGACTTTTGTTTTTGAATGTGGCTCTACAAGTGCGGGCAGACTAGGAGCCTGCACACATCCTGAAATCTTAGCACATACTACTCTCTTGGAATAAATGAGAGGATATTTTTAGTATTTGGATGACAATTTTCACTGTGTTCTTTTTCTAAACTCCTTTTGCTCTCCATTTCAAGCAGAGGGAGGGCGCGTCTGTGTACTTTGAGCAGTAAAACATTCCAGCCAGTCTGTCAGGAAAGTGTCTCCTTTGTCTATTCCAAATCTGTCCCAGAGCAGTAATCCAGATCTCTTCTAGGGGGGTGGATATGGTCCCTTTTGGATATTTTCTTTTTTCCTCTTACAAAGGGAAACAAATTTAAAAGTAGATACTAGCCAATGGATGGAGCCTGCTAATTGGGAGCTCCTTTGTGCTGACACTTCCCTGAGAAGTGGGTGATTGAACATCTGGTGACCTGAAACTTCCACTGCTCTTACAGGAACTAAGGGGACACCTCTGAGGCTGGGTAGCAAATCGCTGAGTTCAGCAGCTGAGTCCAAAAGCTTCCAGGAAGCAAGTGGCATGATTTTCTCCCTCTAACCCCCTGGAAGCTTATATATATATTTTCCCCCCAGAACTCAAATCTTGCTTTCTCAGAGACTGCTGCCACCTTTGATCCCTTTTGAGAGCTTCGCACCTGTTTCTGGTTAGGTGGACATCTGGCATCGAGAGAGCTGGCATGACATGGAATCGGGACCACTGAGAGGCTTGGGCAGCCATGGGGGCCATGGGCTTCAGGGTTTCATTAGTAGTTAGGATGAAATGCTGTAATACTACTAAGAAAATGTTAATAATTTACAATGTCTTTATATATTTTCTCACTTGATCCTCTGGCAACCTATGATCAAGTTAAAAACACGGAGTTTGAAATGGAAATAACCCCTCACAGGATTGTCAAGAGGAGAACATGGGATCGGTCATGTGTCTTAAGGTTCTGGTGTGATGTCTGTTCATAGCTGCCTTTCAGTAAGTTACATCCTGTTGCCATGGTTTTCTTTCAGATGAGAAGACAGTCCTTCAAATGTTAAGTGATTTGCTCAAGGAGCCTCAGAGCCTAAGAATTGGAGTCCAGGCCACTACTCTGTCAGCTTGTCACTGGGTATAAAGGTGAGGGTCAAATGTTTTACCTCCTTGGGAGTTCTTGGCGATTTTAGGGGCCTCTTCTCGTGTTAGCTGGTTCCAGTTGAGGAACCTGAAGTTCTGGAAGCCATGTGTCACCTTCTTGCCCTGACTCCTTGGGGACAGTGTGCCTGCCTTGAGAGCTGTGTTCATGCTGAAAGCAGGGGCATCCTGTGGCTTTGCAGACTGCCTGCCAACCCTCATGCCCACTTGCCTGGCTTTTAAGAGCAGCTGCTTAGGGGGCTAGGTGTTCACCATGCCTGAAACCAGAGTTGGTTTCTGAGTTATCAGGTATACGTGGAAACCTCAAAATAAACTCTTTGCTTTCTAGATCATGAGTTCTTGCTTCCTCTTTTCTCCTCTGGACTTTCCCTAGAGAAGAGAAAGCAGAAGTTTCAGGTCTGGGGACCAGCTGCAGGCTTTTGCCCAATTCAAGATGTGGAGTATGGGGACTGGAGCGAAGACCCCCATCTTACCTCCACATGGGTAGAGGTCACTGTCTGGGGAAGAACTCTGCTGCGGAAGTGGGATCCTATAACACTTTTCTCCCAGGTGGCCTTATAATAGCGTGGAGACTGAATTTTGCCTCCTTATGTTAGAATGGAAGGCCTGGGCATTTGTGTTATCTAGGCTGGATTTTGATTTCTGGCCTTTCTTTTTGCGAGGAATGGAAGTATAATTCTTTACCTGTGGTCCTGTGAGGGGAGACCCATCCTAGGGCTCTGGACTTAGCATCCGGCCACCTCAGGGGAGGCCTCTCTCCAGGGCCAGCCCTGGGGCTGAGCTGGCTGCACTGCTCAGGTGCTGGGGCGGCGCCTCACTCTCACTCACTGTTCATAACCAGAGATGGGGTCCAGCCTGCCGTCAAGGCTTCATGGGACAGAGCCCAGGCTGATGCAGGGGAACCACCCTTCCGGCCAAGAGCAAGGTCAGTGTTACCTCCTCTAGCCGGGGTGTGGGGCGCACCCGAGCCAGCAGGGCTGTGTGATTTCCCCTTCCTCTAGGGCTGCCTGATCAGAATGGCAGTGGGATGGTTTTACCTGTCTGTGCTGGCACTGTGCTCCCTGGGCTCGATGTGCATCCTCTTCACCATCTACTGGATGCGGTACTGGCATGGCGGCTTCGCCTGGGATGGCAGCATACTCATGTTCAACTGGCACCCGGTGCTCATGGTTACAGGCATGGTGGTGCTCTACAGTGCTGGTGAGTACGGGTCGGCAGCAGACACGTGTGGCCCAGGCCTGCGTGGGGCAGTGCTCCTCTCATCCTGGCCTTTGTTACTGAAGGTTCAGGGCTGTGAGGGAGGGATGGGATGCCGTGGGTTGTCTCTGGGCCCAGCTGACATTTGGAAGAAGTCGTCTCGAGAACTGAGACATCTGAGAAGGGCAACTCCACGGATGTTCTTAGGCAGGGGTTTGCACACTTCCTGTTAAAGGCCAGATAGGAAATATTTTAGACTTTGCATGCCCTGTGATCTGTGTTGCAACTACTCAGCTGATGTTGTACTGTGAGTGACCAGAGACATCACAGAAACGTGTGTGGCCATGTTCCAATAAAACTATTTATAGTGGTGGGAGGAGGAGAGAAATAGGTGAGGGAGAGCAAGAGGTACAGCGTTCCAGTTGCAGAATAAATGAGTCACAGGTACAGTGTGGAAAGTAGAGTTAATGATTATATATCTTTGCTTGGTGACAGATCATAACCAGAACTGTCACAGTGATCATTTTGAAATGTACAGAAATATCGAATCACTGTGTTCTGTAACAGGAAGTAACATAGTGCTATAGGTCAATTATACTTCAAAAACAAACAAACTCATAGTAAAAGAGATCAGATTTGTGGTTACCAGAGGTGAGGAGTTGAGGAGAGGGGGAAGTGAATGAAGGTCGTCACAAAAGGCACAAACTTCCAGTTTTGAGATAAATAAGTATTAGGGATATAATGTACAACATGATCAATATAATTTTTA